AGATCATCACCGGTTCCAGGAAGCACGATCATGTTACTCCCCTATTGCACCAACTTAACTGGCGGTCAGTGAGCCAGACACCACAACTTAGACATACAGTTATGGACTATAAGTGTGCCAATAATTTAGCACCCGACTACGTATGTAACAAGTTACAAAAACGCACCACCATACTTGATCGAGCCACGCGGCATAAAAAAAAACTTCAGATCCCCTTTTATAAGTCCGCGAACGGTCAACTAACCTTTGCCTATAGAGCGGTTTCACTATTAAATTCCCTGAGGAGTGACCCAGTGAACTTGCCTTCAGTAAAGTCACTGAAACATTCTCTAAAAGACTCCCTAAGAGGGACACAATAGTCTTTGTATGATACCCATTGGACATATATATATATATTTTTCATTTTTATTACCCTATTTTAAGTTGTTCATTTGGGATTGTAAATTGTCTACCATTGTAAATAGTTGCTGAAAAGCCTGTATAGGAGTAATTATTAAAGCTCATTCATTCTATTGAGTTCTATTAAAAGTTGAAATCGCCTCTTGCAATAAGTTTTCTGCAAAAATTAACCATTTCGTTTAAAAATCATTAAGGTAGTTCCTGTTTCTCTGGGGATATCCTCTTATTTAAGTCACTCTTACTTGTAGCCAAATATTCATTTTTATCCTTCATTGTTTTAGTCGATTTGCATTCATGGTTACGCTAGTTATTTATGACCACATCGAGTTGGTCGCATTTTATTATGCTTCAAGAAAAAATTCACAGTGATCAGTCAATGTCTAAACTTTCAGCTGTCATCGTTGGGTTTAAGATACTTGTGAGTATAACTACAGTGTACTCTTTTACAGCAGTTCTGCGTGTCAATGAACTTTATCAAAGGCTCTTGATTAGCCCCTTTTATTTTCACACCAGGACATTCTGAGGGTCATGATCACAGGGCCTGTGGAAACCCCATACGAACATGGACTGTTTGTCTTTGATGTTCGACTGCCGCCAGATTACCCTGCCTCTCCCCCTGTGTTCCACTACCTATCCCAGTGCTCTGGTCGCTTGAACCCTAACCTTTATGAGGACGGTAAGGTTTGTGTCAGTCTGCTGGGAACCTGGGCTGGGCGTGGAAGCGAGGTTTGGACGTCAAAGTCGAACGTACTTCAAGTTTTAGTATCAATACAAGGTAATACACCGTAATTTTTTTAATGTAAGTTACTTTGATGTTTAGACTTCTCGTTATTGCTACCCCAACCAAAAATTAGCAGTAGTTGCCTTAAAATCAGTGGAGAAATCTGAAATTTTGCATAGAGGGGGGAATTGCAAAAGATCAGAATTACACTCTAGAAAAGAAAGTAGACATTTAGGAGCCAAAACGATTTTAAATATCTACTGTATAGTTTGCTTAGCAGCAAGACTCATTTTAGTGCCGATTTATTTTCCCTTAGGACTTATTTTGTGCAGTGAACCATATTACAATGAAGCCGGGTATGAAAAACAGAGAGGAACTGGCCAGGGACTGGAGAACAGTCGCCTTTACAATGAAATGGTTTTATTGAAACTGGTCCAGTCGATGGAGAAACTCATTACAAAACCTCCAAGTGGCCTGGAAAAAGAAATATTACAGCATTTTGCGCATCACGGAACAAGGTGAAGTATCATCAGTTCAGTCACTCGGTCAATCAGTGTGGCAGGCATTCAGACCAAGGGACCGACTCTGTTAACTCCGCATCTGTCGGTGGTTGATTAGTTCTCAGTTGAGTTATTTTGGACTTGCCAGTTTGTCAACCTATTGGTCAGACAGACAGACAGACTGACATATAGACAGACACAAACTGACTGACAGATAGACAGAAAAACAGACAGACAGACATGCCAGGGTTAAAGTGATTAGTGAACATAGGCTACGTATTGAATTCAGTGGTTTCTCTATCGATAAAGCTATTTACTGTATTTCATAATTGTTAAAGTGAAACCACGAGTGGAGATAGCGTGGACCATTATGAATCCCGTTGTAAGAATCAAGCTAAACTAGCCCATGGTATTGATTATCTAATCAAAGTCTTGGTAACAAGAGCGGAATTGTCTGCAAAGAGTAATAGTTTGTGATCCAAGTATTGTTGTCTCATGATTGCTCGTTGAACCTGGATGAATTTAATCGGGTGGACAACGCTTTCAGTTGAGGAAATTATTACTCGATAGAGAGCATAGTTCGTCTTTTACACCCATTGATGTGATGCTGATATCTCTACCGCTTGACCGTAGCAAGTATTACTTCAAATATAAAACCTTAATCCTGACCATCTTTGTTATCTCTTTTACAGAATGGTACGGAAATTCAAGCGTTGGATTGATTTGTTCCACGGGGAGTCAACGACACTCTCCGAATGTGAAAATGGCGACACTAAGGATGGTAAACCGGAACACGTAGAAGAAACCGTTCGTGACGTTATTCTCGCAGAAGCAACGCGAGCTAAGTCTGTACCAGGATGCGATAGTGAACAGAGCTTTAACGGCCATTCTCCAGAGGGAGTACTGGAACCAAACGAGGAGAATGAACTTGTTGTAAAGGACTGCGTGGCTGAAAATGGCGTCTGCGTGGCCGAAAGTGGCGTCGTGAACGAAGCCAACGACCTCGAGGATAAAGGGGCGAGTTGTCCTGATCCATCATCCCTAGAAGGCGAAGCTTTGAAAACCGAGCACGATGACACATGTCAAGGTGCAGCCTCTTGGGAAAAGATCGGCCCCGATTATCCTTTGTTCCCACTCTCTCGCGGATTTTGCTTGAGTCTCCAGAGGGCGTTGGAAAGTTTCCAGAACGCTTTGGACAAGGCGGGACTCAAGCCATGATACCAAGAACAAATCTGTGACTCTGTAAATTATGAAGAAAAAGAGATGAATTATGACAGAAATAGGGTTTTAAAAGTTATTTATATCTTTGAATGAGTAATTCAAATGTTTTGAACTCTGAAAAGCTGCTATGCGGTTGTATTTTCGTTATTTTGACTCCTTGAGAACCTGAAGAAGGTAAACTGAATAAATAGATTGAGAGATGTCATATTTTCCTCAAAGTGACGACTTACTTTCCTTATGAGAAGTGCTATGGATTGCAGTTGACTTTGGTCTAAATCTCCTCCTTTTTGCTTGAAAATCTGCTTAGACCGTTTTTCCTTTCAGTTATCCTATACTTCTTTGATTTACTCTGAGCCAAAGTATTTATGTGAGAGCATGTTTCTTTGTAGCGACAATCGGAGGTAAAGATTTTAGACTGTTGTGAACTGCTGCTTGTTTATTGAAACAGATTCTTGGTTACGTAGAGGTAGTACATGGCCGCGCGGGGGATACGAATTTTATCTTCGAGTGTTGTATCTCTCACGAGTGAGCGAAGCAACGAGTGAGAGATACTTTCAGCACGAGAAGATAAAATTCGTATCCCCAAGCGGCCATGTAATGTTCTGTTTATTTTATAGATACTGATGAAATTTGCACATGAAACACAACTTGCTTTTATTCATTTTCTAAACAGCAAAATGGTGCAATTAAAGTGGTCACCTATCGGAAAATACCAGACACAAAAATGTTGTGAAACTCGGATATGAAGTTATAAAGGAGAGACAATAATAGCTATATTTTCTGTTCCAAAGAGAAATTTCAAAAGAACCGGCAGCGCGCCTGAGCGGGAAGCTCTCTTTGTTGCAGAATTCTCCACTGCGTTAAGGAAAATCTCTGCGTTCCGCTGGTTCAGCAATCAGTAGGACTGTATCTTTCTGGTTTATCAAGTTTATTTACGATCCGCGTACGCCTCTACAATCTCCGTAAAAGTACGTTCAGTTGATCTCAATGTCCATTCCGAATGACCTCAATTACAACATGTTATCTGTATTTATCACAACGGAAATAGACACCTAGTTACGTAAATCCGAGATTAACAATGCTTATTTGCGCTTTACTAAGCCATTTTCCTGTTGCACAGCTTGACTTGCGTCCTTACCCAGAGTAATCCAATTAGCCCCTAGCAATTAAACCCACACCCACTATTTGCGGAGCACGTGTCACATATTTCTATGTGTTACAGGATGTTCCAGCCCAAACGTACGCCTTAAATTCCTCTAGATAATTCACTTGCGTGTATAAGCTAACATTCTACCGATTATTTATTTTATCTATTTGTTGTTTTTGCTATTATTGATTGTGCAATAACACGTTTAACAACACTCTTGTAATTAGCTGGTCATGTTAGTAACCATAGCGACACCAATATCCCCACACGTGCAAGATAAAAATGGTATCTTCACTGCGCGCAATGAAGATATGATTTTTAGTAAAAGGAAAAATCCTGGTATTTCATCAGTATCTATATAATAATTAACCATAAAAAGGAAAGTAGAGCTCAGATATATTTACTTAACAAGAGCGCTTTGCAATCAAGTGTTGCAGTATATATTCAAGTGCAAAGTAATCGTAACGGCCAATCAGCCAGAACAGAGAAAAACAGCACAAATAGTCAGTGTTAAATCAAAGAAAAAAGGTTTGATTTTTTTAAACCGATTGGATACGCAAGGACCAAGTCGCTCCTGGTTTCATTTTTGTATTCAATAGTAAGAGCAATTTTTGCAACAGAATTCTCCCATCTCATGAATCGTAGCGGTGGCCATGCACGATTGACGCTTAATGTTCGCGTTTGGTGTTAAAGTTATCAAATACACCTTCGTTGAACCGGTTCAAAAATAGTCTCCCTCGCAGCCGTTTTTTGGGGGAGCGTTGCGTGACATCCAAAAAAAACGGCTGCGAGGGAGACTACTTAAAAAAGTACTCGGCGAAAAATTTCAAAGCTGTCGAACGTGGATATTTGGTGCTGTAGCAGTTGATAAGCACCTTGATTAACCCCTTCTTAGTCGGAAAGTGTGACGCCTGTATGAAATACATGTTCCGAACATTACGGCGTAATGCAGAGAAGGGGAAACAAGTTGTTGAGGCGTGCGCGCAAACGGAAGACTCTTGAGTTCCTCCGCTGTACTCCTGTTTACTGCTACAGCTCCCAACCGTTTGTTCATGTCGCCTTTTTTTCTGTACTGTGTGTTGGAAAGCATGTGTGGGCACATGGACCGACATATAAACTTTGCCTGCTGTGGGCGTAGATTGTAATGCAGATAAAGATAGATAAAAAAATTAAAGGGAAGAATTCGATTTTTTTTCGCAAAATCTCTGAAAACATCAAAAGATAAAAAGTAGTAAGTCTGTAAGGACAAAGATCGATTAGACTGGTGTTTTGCTTTCGTTTACGAGGCGAAACTGTTGGAAAGAGTGAAAAAAAAATACAAATCTGGTCTATAGAATGAACTTTTAGAGAAAACGGAGGAAAACTCTGTTTGAAGGGAAATAAATAAATACGCATTGCTGTCAATTGTTTTGAAACAAAAAATCACCTTCTTAAGCAGTGCAATTTCCCTGGATAATTTTGGCTATAGTTACTTCGTAATGGTTGTAGACTTCAAACTGAGAGGTGATTTAAAATGAAAAAAAATTATTCTACTGTCCATAGCATCTTTCTTTTGTATATTTACACGTACACAATTTGAAATTTTTTTTTACTAACTTGATTCGTGGGATTGTTTTAGGCCCGGGGCCCATCTGGAAACCGTGGTTCCTGTTGAAATATCCGCCTTACAGCGCAACTGGCTGCAGCTGGAAAATCCACCATGTGTTGCTGCTTCACCAGTTGAGACTACTAGATCAAATCAGAAATAATCTTGGGTCCTCTGATTTTTTTCATTTACACCGAAATCCCCGCGGCTATGACTAAACGCAGTTCGTGCATTGTCTTCGCTCCTCTATTTAAAATTTCCGTTCGTATGATTATTCTAATTGCGCAACGTGTTTTATTTCTATTTGTTTTGGAGCCTTCTTGTGAGGTTAATACGATGAAATTTCAAGCAGATACGCCAGTTTCTTGTTTCAAGACTGTTTGTGAATTTCGTTGAATGTTTTTATTTTTCACTTAATTGCCTACTTAACTCTTAACTCACCCTGAGTTGGAAGGTTGAGAATTTCCCCTTTTAATCTCTCGGAAACGTCCAAATTTCGTGAAGCAAAATTAGGCATCTAACAAACACATGCCCTCCATGAACAGATGTTCTCGCCATGACGTAAAATGCTCCTTTTTTTAATTAAAAGTGTGAAGACTTAGGTATAAATTAGCGGTTTCGTCAGAATTATTGCGCACAGCTCAAAACTTGTCGACTTTTCTTCACCTTCGCATTCTGAAAGAGCTTTTAGACTTGATTGTATCAAAAAAAAAAAAAAAGAAAGGAACGAGTCCTTCAGTTGAAAATGCCATCCTGCCAGCCATTACTGCAAAAGCCCGATGTTGACGACATTCGTTCGACTGGCATCGCAAGTTACGTGTTAAGTAGTTTCCTCTCTTGTACCGCGATTTTGTTGAACATTGCAACCATCCACGGGATAAGAAAAACGTCATCGTTATCCAATACTTTGAAGATATTTCTGCTGAGTCTTGCTGTGTCTGATGTTTGTGTGGGTTTGGTTGTGCAGCCATTTTTCATTTCAATTGTGGTCAGAGTTTTACAACGTAACATTCCAGGTTGTACTACTTACAGGGCTTTTGACGTTATATCGCACGTTTTTTCCGGCGCTTCGTTTTTCGGTGTCATAGCCTTAAGCGTAGATAGGTTCTTGGCTCTTCATTTGCATCTCAGATACCAGGAACTTGTGACTCACAAGCGTGTTGTTGCAGTGGTAATCTCAATATGGCTGTTTAGTTTCTTCATTGCTTTCTCGATCTTGTGGGTCCCTAATACCATCCGTTTCATTTCCGCAAGCCTTGTCGGAATTGTTTGTATTCTACTGACAAAAATCGCGTATTGTAAGATTTATTTAACTGTAAAACGCCACAAGAATCATATCCAGTCCTCGAAAGTACGGGAAACACCTGAAGAACAATTTCAACGGGTTGGCGAAATGACACATTTTGTAAGTCTCGTCAAGACTGCAGTCGGTGTATTTTGCGTGTACCTTGTATTCTTGATGTGTCATTTGCCGTTTGTTGCCTACATAGTTTTTATTGCTATCAGTAGACCGACTATCGCTCTTAAGCGACTTAACTTTATCGCATCGATTTTTGTATTTCTGAATTCATCTCTGAACCCTGTTGTTTACTGCTGGAAGATGAGACACATTCGAAGCGCTATCATCAACGTCCTGCGTAGCATTACAACATCAAACCGCACATCAGTGGCGGATCCATAGTTTTCCTTGCTGATTTAATGGCTGGGCTAGTTCAAACGTAGACACCGCAAGATGAATCTTCTTTTTAGTAAAATTCAACCGAATAATTTGTGTTTTGGTAAACACTGTAGTTAACGTGGACTATCGTTTCAAAGGTCCGTATTCACCAAAAAGATCAAGCTATCTGTTTAAATCCGTTATTAGAACATATTAAGCCACCTTATGACTGTTACACTATATATCCAAACAGTTCTGACCACTGTCCAGTGTGCTCAAATAGATACCAAAAGAATTTCCTAACTGTCGAACTGGCGTTTCAGTTGTTTGCAGGTACAACATCTCGTAGATACAGTTTATGTCAGCCTCTTGGACTTACTCTGTAGGTTTTCTACTCAATTTCAGAAGAGATTAGCTATGTTTTTGTCGACATATTGGGGCAATAACAATGTTTATTATATGGCTGTGTCTCACAAGGACTGGGAACTACCGAATTCACGAATCTAATTGGCTNATAAACATCTTATTAACCGAGCTAGGTCGGTCTGTATGGGAGAATCTTGACCTCGGTCGCTGGTACAGACCTCACTGCGTTCGGTCTATACTGGCGACCTCGGTCAAGATTCTCCCATACAGACCTCCCGCTCGGTTAATAAGAACTAAAAACTAGACTAGATGCAGATAAATACTGGTCACTTTCAATCGCACTTTTGCCTTTCAAACTTGCGAAACTGGAAGAGTGAGTTCCGAAGACAAGATTTCAAGAATAAACTAAATTAAACTTCCACTGTACAAAGAAACAAAAACAAAACTATTATTCTTTTGCTGTTTCGAGTTAAGAAATCTCGCCGCTCCTTATAAGTTTGACCAACGCGTCATAGGTAATGGACTAGCCCTGCTCCCTGCGAGAGGGATTTGGCACTAGCTATCCTGAGGAAGTGCGCAGGCGGCCCTTACATCGCGTGGATTGACTCTCATGTGAGAGGATATGAAGATGGAGAGTTTTAATCCCAAGCGTGATACAGACAGACTGACAATAATTGTACTGAACGTCGCAACAGTAAAATGATGCTAATGGCTTCAGTTTTCAGTTTGGTTTTTCTTGGAAATTTTCTTGAAACTATCTCCTGAGATCTCATGATAAGTAGTCTCCCCTTGAAATTGAAAACATTTACAGTTTTGACTGTTTTGTAGCTAAAGAACCCCTGTAAAGTATGTCTTCAGTAGTTCAAGACCGTTGTTGCTGATGATGACTTTATTTAAACTCGGATGAAAATGAGGCTTGTTAGGCCTCTAGCAATAGAGATGCTAATGTACCGAGAAAAACGTATTAATATAAATTACAGAGTTTAAAAATTATATAAGCCTAAATATAAATGATGATATAAATGATGGTGATATAAAATTACAAATTACTTAAATTTCTTATCTCATCATTGAAAGGGCCAAATTCAGCCATTAATCTTAGCTTATCAGGTAATGCATTCCAAGCCTTAGCAGCAAGTAAGAAGTTGATTTGAAGCCGAAAGTTGTGTTGCACGTGGTCTTTACGTAATCTGAAAACCTCTTCAATAACATTTGAGACATGATCCTTTTATTCAAATTGTTTATAGGACCGAAAGCTTGGTGAAGGAGAAATTTGATAGATCGAAATTGGAGTGTATTGACACAAGCTTCTCACTGCCAACTCAAATCAAGAATCTTTCATTTTCAAGCGGAATATTTCGTATTTAGTGTTTGGACGAGTGCATCTGTGTTTTTCACCCGCCCGTCCTCCACGACAAGGATTGTCCTTGCTTAGTAACTGCTGCCTCCGCAAGCTCACATCATGAATGATTCACACTGCGAAGTTTGGATGTATTTAGTTGCTGTCACCACCGAAATCGAAGTTCTTCGTTTCGCTTACATCTTTAATTGTGTTTTGAACATTTTCCTGTCACTTAGCGCCATTTTGCTGAATACTGTGACAATCTACGTGATGCAAAAAACGTCCTCGTTGCCAAAGACTCTGAAGAATTTGAAGACACTACTATTGAGCCTAGCTGTTTCTGATATTGGTGTTGGTTTGCTTGTTCAGCCATTTTACTCGTCACTGTTGATCAAGTGCTTGCAGGGAAACTTTCCCAGCTGTAACATATTTAACATGTTTGGAATCATTTGTGGGTTTTTTTCTATTGCTTCCTTCTTCGGTATCGTGGCTGTAAGTGTAGACAGGTTCTTGGCCGTTCACCTTCATCTCAGATACCAGGAACTTGTGACACACAAACGTGTTGCTAGTTTGGTAGTCTCAATATGGCTGCTTAGCGCATTTGGTTCTTCGATGCACCTTTGGGTCTCATCCTTTATTCAAAATTTAAGTTATATAGTTATTGCTATTTTGTCTGTTATTATTGCGGCACTGGTTTACATCAGAATTTATTTAACTGTTCGACTCCATAAGAAGAACGTTCAGGCGTTAAAAGGACAGCAACAAGACAAAAACACAGGTGAAATGGCAAGTGTTGTTGCCGTTGTTAAATCAGCAGTCGGCATATTCTACGTGTATCTCGTATTTTTGGCTTGCTATTCGCCTATTATTGTTTATTTTGCCTTCGCCGAGATGACCACAACCAATAGTAACGTTCTGAAGAGAGTTTATCTTTTCTCTTATACTTTCGTATTTCTAAATTCATCTCTGAACCCTGTGATTTACTGCTTAAAGATGAAACACATTCGATGTGCTGTCATGGACTTACTACAGAAAATGTCTTGGCAAAGAAACCGTGCATTACACTAATCTTAGGACCAGTCCTGAATAAGTTTCGAAAGTTTTGATGATTATCAAGGACCGCTAGAAATGTTCTCTGTACGGCGGGACTGCAAGTAAGTATATCTGGACTTTGAACCAAAAGTTTAGTATTTGCAATGATATTTTGATTTGCCCGCGAATAAACGGAGTGTAAAACCAATCAGATGCCTTCATTCCACTCCTGTTAACATCCGAACAAAAAAATTTTCGGTACTGTAGAAAAATTTTCCCGCCCCCTCCCCATGCTCCGGCCTTCTTTTGAGGCTTTCGTTGCTTTTTTTATACGTATTTGGCTCTTTGCCGATATTTAACCCCACCTTTGCTTAAGAAATTGCGCGATGGTTATTATTTCAATGTTCTTGATCATGATGTCGAGTAAAATAAAAGCGTCACTATTGTGGCCAACTTTCCCCAAATTAGCAGTTATTATTTTATCTCCCGTCAATCTCGTTAGCAAACTAGTGCGACGACACGCAGAGCTTCGGTCCCGTTTCAGTAGAGACACGCGGGTTTCGTGATAAAAGTTTAGTATTTGCAATAACATTTTGATTTACCCGCTAATAAACAGGGTGTAAAACCAATCAAATGCAAAACCAAAGAAATTTTGACTCACTTATTTTCGCTTTCCCGATGAAGATGTCTGGGCATAGAAACCGCGTATCACACTAATCTTAGGACCAGTCAATTAGTTCGAAAGTTTTGATTTCAGAGGAAATTTGTTTATCAAGGATCGCCAGAAATGTTCTCTGTACGGACTGCTAGTAAGTGATATCTGGACTTTGAACCAAAAGATTAATATTTGAAATGATATTTTGATTTTCCCACTAATGAACGAGGTGTTAAACCAATCAAATGCAAAACTAAAGAAATTTTGACTTCCTTGTTTTCGCTTTCCTGCCGAAGAGTACTGATCTGGGGACAGAAATCGCCTATCACACTAATCTTAGGACTAGTCAATCACTTAGAAAGTTTTGATGCTGGAGGAAATCTGTTTATCAAGGATCACTAGAAATGTTCTCTGTACGAACTGCCAGTAGTGATATCTGGATTTTCAATCTAAAGTTTAATTAGTATTTGCAATGTGTTTTGATGTGCCTCCTAATAAAAGGGGTGTAAAAACAAAATTAAAGAAATTTTGTCTTACTTTTTTTCGCTTTACCGCACTTTTTGCGATTTTGCTGTTTTTTCAAGTCACTCAAAGAGACTCAATCGGAATGCTCTTTTTCTATGACTGTGAAAGTATAACGGAGTTTTACTTCTGTGAAAGTATAACCTAGTTTTACTTCTGATATCTTGAAGAGAAATACCAGTTTGGTGTCTCTTCATTTATTTATTTATTTATTTTTGCATTTTACATCAGACAATGAGCAGCCTTATTGGACCCTTCGCTTTTTGTTTTATTCACAGTTATCGAATGGGTGAACAGTTTTTATTTGTTTTTCTGTCAATATTTCTTGATTTTTCGTTGTCTTGGCAACTCGCGAATGCGGAAAGAAAGTTGGGGTAGTAAGGGTGGACCTATGCCGTCGTGCCTTGTAAATCACGTGACGGTCAAAAGACACCTGTCAAGAGTTGTTAAAATACATTAAAAACTAAACATATCAGTACAATGAAATATATGAAGTTCATATATTTTGAACTGCGGTATTAGATACGTATGATGCACGATCCTCGCAGTAGAGAGCGCTATTTAAGCAATAGCGAAAATCAGAGCTGAAAAAAATCAGGCCTGTACGGGATTCGAACCACTGACTTCATATATTTCATGGTACAGATTTATTACTTTCACGGGTTTATTACGAATCAACTTAACGGCCTGCTCCCAGTTGGCTTGTTAGCTCAATTGGTGAGAGCGCTGCAGTAATATCGCAGAGGTCAGTGGTTCGAATCCCGTACAGGCCTGATTTTTTTCAGGTCTGGTTTTCGCTATTGCTTAAATAGCGCTATCTACTGCGAGGATAGTGCATCATACGTAACTAAACATATCATTAGCAAAAATTCTCTCGAAAGGCATTTTTAATCAACTAGATTGGTTTCTGCAGGAAATTCCTAACAAAAACCCTAAGCTTTGGAAATTAGGTACCACTCCTGTGACTCATGACTTTTTAACATGATAACACGAGGTTGAGCATAGCTTGAACACGAAATTTATGGTAATTATGACCTTCTCCAATGATGCATTATTGATTTGTCAGCTCAAAGCCAGAAAGTCTTCGATATTTTTCGCCATATCAGTTGACCGCAGTGAAAATGTGTTCTGTATTTTAATAACATCAGAATAAGGTAGATGTTTAACTGGTATCGAATAGAAGATAAGGCAATGTTTTGTTAGTTTTGTAACTACAATCCTTTGTCAATCGGGCCTTCACTACTGATCCAATTCATTACGGATTAGATTTAAAAATAAGAGAGTATGTTTTAACATACCCATAATTTAAATTTATTCCCACGATACTTGACGGTGTTAAACAAACACCTGATAAAGAAAAACATCTGGATTTTCAGGACAGGAATTCCTACTGATTTCAAACATGCAGGTACTTCTTTATTTTAAATCTACAGCACTTTGCAGGGTAGAGCGACTAATCATGGCATTATTTCCAGACTTATTTGATAAATGGCCGAGCAATTATTTAATTTTCTTCTTCCGTAATTCTATAGGACACCTATGTCAGAAAATAATCTACTACTTACGTCCGCCTTTTCTTCAGCTGGAAATTTGCAATTAAGAAAACTCGTCTGAATTTGTTAGCGGACCTCAGCAGTGACATTTCTAAATAGAATATCTGAAAAGTGAGTTCTCCTTTGAGTATACCTCAACACTTTCTTCAACGGTGACCATAGCGACAGTTTATAAAAGAAAAATATCTGGCAGGGTGGCCGTCGAGTGATTCGGTAGAACCGATAGGAGAGACTATTTTGCTTACACATCGCGTCGTTGGCATGGACGAACTGTTTTGCGATGAGTTGCTTCAGCATTATCCCTCGTTCTCGGACTTTCAAGATTTGCGTTTCACGTACATCTGCAATTGTGTCTTCAACATTTTTCTCGCTCAAAACGCCATTGTGTCGAACATGTTAACGATCTACGCGATACGAAAATGTTCGTCGTTACCACAGACGCTAAAAACGTTTCTTCTGAGTCTTGCCGTTTCTGATGTTGGTGTTGGTTTGGTTGTTCAACCAATTTACATCTCGCTTCTGATCAAGTGGTTGCAACAGAATGATACTAGCTGTATCACTATAATGATTTTTCAAATGTGCGGGGTTTTTTTCTCGATAACTTCTTTCCTGGGTGTTCTGGCTGTAAGTGTGGACAGGTTCCTAGCTATACATCTTCATCTCAGATACAAAGAACTTGTGACTCTCAAGCGTGTTGTTGATGTGGTTGTATCCATTTGGGTGTTTAGTGCAGTTTGTTTTGTCCTCACATTGTGGAATCTGCATCAAAGCAGAAGGCTCTTTCGTATCATAGGTGGAGCCTTTTGTCTTCTCCTTGCAACATTTGCATACATCAGGGTTTATTTAGTTGCACGACGACACAAAAATGAGATTCAGTCTCTGCAGATACACCAAGCACAACAAAGTGGCTCAATGGCAAATTTTACTCGCCCCGTCAATTCTGCAACCGGTACATTTTACTTGTATTTTGTGTTTTTGGTTTGTTATTTGCCTCTTTTTATCTGCCTTGCGGCCGTTAGAGTAAACAATGAAAGCATCGCTTTAAAGAAACTCTTTCTCTTCTCACTGACTCTGCTGTATCTCAACTCATCTCTGAACCCTGCAATTTACTGCTGGAAGATGAGACACATTCGGCACGCACTCATGGACGTAATACGGAACCTGCCGTTGCGGAGAAATTACTCATCACGTTGATTCTAAAACTTGCCCTTCCGTGTAGCTGTATGTTCACGATTGAACTTGCTGTGGGATTTGTAAAGACTGCATGATATTAAAGGAAGTCAGAAATCGAAATAATATAGGACCGCAATAACATTTTTTAATCTCATTACGAGGTCGAGTTTTGAATTTGGCAGGATGTAAATAGAACATTAATAGTGAAGCAAGCAGCGATGAAAATTTACAGCTTATTAACCAGTGAGGCTGGTTTTTATCGCTCGAAGAGCAATGAGTGAATTGATCCAACAGACGCTGAATGAATAAGCGATTTATCTTAAATTTTTGTTGTTATAATTTTTTTTTTGTAAATGAACACTGGTTTCAGAAACTGAGCTGGTTGCTCCAGTTTTTGCTTAAAGAGCGCTAGTAGTGTTAAGTACACTGCCTCGTTACTTGAATCTTACTGATGAGACCTAGAGCACAGAAGGAAAGTTTCACCTTCGACTTAATTTCAGAAGTTCAAAGAAACCACAATTCTTTTTTCTGACATTGACAGCGATAAACCCAGATACTTCATTAATAAAGAAGTGCGACTTTATGTAAAGTTTTGAGAAGATGAAATAACTTATATCCAAGTAAAGGTGTAAAATGACATTATCGCTGATAATGAAAACTTCTTTGTTTACTTAAGTTGACGGCAATAGATTTTTGAAAGGTATTGTCAGGCTGCTTAAGAGGCTTCCTTTCTTTAGCATTTTAATTGGATTTCTTGTAAAATATGTAAACGTAATGGTCCTTTTCGACAAATTCCCTCCTCTTTTTCCATCTGAAAAGGAAAACGTTATTAAACCATTTATTTTACCCCCAAACTAAACGGTTTACCCAGGACAGCAGACAACATAATTGACTGTCATCCTGAACTGCGAATGAAAAGGAAATTAGTGAATTCATAAGTTTATTGTCTGTTCGTAGGAGACTACCGATTGGAAAAGGAACTGACGTTATGCAATGATGCTCTCCCCACTCCCCCATCTTGCGCATCAGCACCAGTCAGGATTTGTCATGATGGAGCCTTTGTACCAGTGCTCGTTCACCGGTTTTCTAACTTTCAGGTATAATAATCTGTTCTTGTTAGTATTTAAAAGATAGTTACAAGACAATTAGTTCTATTAAAAACTAACTTCACATGTGTTTTGAAGTTTTTGCGCAAAACTATTTGAGTTGCAAAATTCTGTTACTGATGAAATGTTTTAAAAAGATACGATACTTGGAGTTCTCTCCTAAGGAAAAGAACATGGAATATCGGCTTTCACTTCGTTATCATGCTCTCCTACATAGTTCTGCTAGTCGTGCCGATGTGAACATTGCCACACTCGGAGGGAATCCCTTAAACCATGCCATCTTTCTGAAGCGGGTCAATGGCTTCTTTAGGTCGAGTGAGTTGAATGATCGGGATAGCCAAGCTCTGCTGATGTCAAAATGTTAGCGTCTTTTAGAAAGCATTCATGGTCACACTCAGACAGTGTGAGGCGTGCAACACTGAAGGATATCTAGTTTCCTTCGTAGCTGATCATTTAGGTAATTACAAAGGCCAATCAGAACAAGGTCAAAGGGAGCCAATGAAGACTCAAATAGTAAACGAATAAACTGCCTGAAGCTTGGTAAACGCGGGTGACCAAGCTGTCGTTGGTTAGCCAGTTGGGTATAGTTTGGTATCTGATTGGTTGAGATTGTGGTGCGAGTTTTCTCACTGGACCAATCACAGAACGAAGCGAAGAGAGACCAATGCAATATGGAATTACTTTCCACTCTCAGTTTAAAACTGCTCTAATTGTAGGTAGACGTCCAATTAATTTGAACTTTCAGCAATTCGTGCACTTATCCTTCGGTCGGTTTCTGATGGGCACTCACTTCAACTTCAGGCTTATTAAGATTCAAAGTTAATATTTACTCTGATGGACGACTGCAGGAACCGTCTCCAGACATTTCCACAACCACAGTGTAATACTGGTCGGAAACTGCACGCAGTTAAGCTTTAATTAAATCCAAATTTTCCTCTTTTTGGTGTTTTTCCTGTTTTCAGACTTTACTTTCAAACAAGCCAGGGCCAGTCAAATTTGAAAACAAACGGCTCCCGGAATAACCGATGACGCCGCTAAGTAATTGTTATGACTTTTATTTCCTTTTTATGTAATAAAAAGTATTGGTCTTCAGCCCGCGGAATAGTTCGATAAGTAATTCAGTTCAACTGTTCATTTTGTTTTCTAAAAGGAATCTAAACTTTTCACTTCAGTCTCATCAAAATTTTTCGATTTGACTGTTTACTTGCCTTTTTGTATGAGATATTTTTAAACCTTATTTATAGATGTTTGAAGTTCGAAACCCTCGCTCTTATTCAACAAAAAAATGCCGACGTTTTGGTTATTTAATGTGTTATGCTTGATTACCCACGGATTCGTGCTGATGTTATCTTAATAATGGATTCTCAAGTGCCATTTACTCAAAACAGGAAACACGCTACGAGAAAGCCACCCCTCGTCTCAAATGTCATTTTAATTTACTGCTACTTTGAATTTTAGAGTGTTCTTATAGTATGGTCATTACGATTCACTTATGAAATGCCCTGGGGTGACATTAATAATCTACGAAGTAAAACTTCTGAGAACTTTTTACTTGAAACTCTAGCTCTTAATTTAATTGATATTTCATGTCGGTCGTTTGGGTTGGTTGATAATGCTGCTGTGGTCAGTTTGTTTAGATTTTGTTGTCATTAAGTTTGAAAATAATTTTCTAATTGTCTCTTCCGGTCGACACACCAAAGCTTCAGAGCTTATCGGAAAGTCTGTCCAAAGGCTCAGTTCATCTTCTGGACTTTTCTTCGCTCCAAACTACGTGACCCGCCAGAATTTTTTTAACCGTGTTATCAGAATTTTCCGTCGTATCAAAACGGCCACCAAAATTATGATTTGTATTACGGGTGTGTAATTGTCTTTACGTTGCAAAGATTTTATCGGAAAGACACTCGCACCTTAATATAGAAACCTTTTTATTCAGTGGCGGCTCGACTGTATTGAACCTTCAGTAGGCTTGGGCTATAATTATTCATACACGTCACAAAATGAGCTATTTTCAATTTTAAATGAACACTGTTGTCTCTAAAAAAAAAAGACATTTTTGATTATTTCAAAGAGCGAGTCCCGCAGTTAATCTACGATTTCTATCTGCTCTGAGCCCTGTAAGGAAAGTATCCAACTATCATTCAGTTATTCGTCAAAGAGCCGATGTCCATATCATGAATGACTCACAGAACTCGACGTGCGAAGTTTTAATGCATCATTACGCCATTACTAGCGAAGTAGACCATCTATATTTTACATACATCTCAAACAGTATTTTAAATGGTTTGCTGTCGCATTCCGCCATCACGCTTAACATTGTAACCATCTACGCGATTCGAAAAACTTCATCGTTGCCAAAGACTCTGAAAACATTGCTTTTGAGTCTAGCCGTTTCTGATATTGGAGTTGGTTGTCTTGTTCAACCATTTTACACTTCACTCTTGATCAAGAACCTACTGAAAGAGATCCCCAGCTGCAACACGTTCAATATGTTTGGAATCATACTGGGTTTGTTTTCTATGGCTTCGTTCTTGGGTGTTGTTGCTGTAAGTGTAGACAGGTTCTTAGCTATTCATCTTCATCTCAGATACCAGGAACTTGTGACTCACAAGTGTGTTGTTGTAGTGGTAATCTCAGTATGGCTGCTAAGCGTGTTTTTCGCATCTTTGATCCTCTGGGTTCCATCGCTAGTGCACTCGATATTTTTGATCATTTTTGGGTTGTTGTTCTTTCTCGTCACAACAACAGTCTACGTTAAAATTTACTTGACGGTGAGATACCACAAGAAAGAGATTCAGTCCATGCAGATACAGCAGGTGGAACACAGCGGTGAGATAGCAAACACGGTAAGCGTCCTTAAGTCTGCAGTCGGCATATTCTACGTGTATCTCATTTTTGTTGCTTGCTATCTGCCTTACTTGGTGTGTTTGGCAGTCGCTGACCCAACCGTGACAAGTAACACTGCAAAGAGCTTGTACCTTTTCTCTTATACTTTTGTATTTTTGAATTCATCTCTGAACCCTGTAATTTACTGCTGGAAGATGAGGCACATTCGACACACTATCATGGTTACACTGAGGAACATGCCCTGGTTCAGAAAGAGGAAAATATCGCACTCAAGTTGGCCTCGGTCGGTCACTACGGAGAGTGCTAAAGACTGAAAAATGTTGACTAACAGCAGTAGAATTTTCTAGGATTGCTTGATTGAAATAAAGGGAATTTTAAAAAAGCATAGTTATTCTGGATTTCTGAATATAATACTGCAAAGACTTTCGAACCGACTTCGATCCACAGCGTGACCTTCATCTTTATCTTTGCGCGATCTCATTTGAAATATTTTTAAAACGCTTCAACAATTCCTTTCTGATTTAAATACAACTTTAAAACGGAGTAACAGCAAGAAACCGGAAGTATATGGTAAACTTTCTTGCTTTTTGTTTGTAAAGCCCTATACTAACTGTTAGTCGTAGGAAGCCGCATATCTTGTTTGAAAACGGAATTAGAAAGTGATGGCAGTTCGAAAACAAATACACTCTAACTTTTGGACAGGGAATAATGGTCTTGTTTGCCGTAAGTGCTTTCGAGAGTTATCGTCGGATTAATCTGCCACGTTAATGACTTATTTACTTATTAATGAAGACGTTTTCGAGGTGATGTAACGGAGAAGTGAAAGTGAGCCACGCGAGGTTTTAAAATATTAATGAGGTCTCTCGAACAATGTTACTTAGCAATATGCAATTGGACATTTGTCTTTGGCAAAACCTGTTGCTCTATCTACAAAGTTTCTCGGCAGTCTTAGAAAAAGTGCTGATGTTTGAATTGATTGAATATTGCGAGAAGATTTCGCTTTGGTTAGAATTAAGATTGACTTGTTTAATTCGACAGCCGGGAAAGAAAGCCAACTGTGTTTGTAGCACAACAAATTCACGAGAGTCGTTTCTGCTTTCTTTCTTTGGACTATCTTCTGTCACTTTTTGCGCTTCCATCGCCGAAATTGTCCAAGAATTGCGACTTTACTCTAATTCTAATTTTTTCATAGGCAGGATCAATGCGGGCAATCCCGAGTGGGAAAGATGGGCCCATCTTGCCCGCTCGGGTAGCCAATCAGAACACAGGATTCACTTCATCTTTCCTACCGGCGTTGCGAACGATGTAGTAAACTAACATTACATTCAGACACAGCAGAGAACAAATAGAGCGCGAGATACTAACCTAACAGACAAACAAACCAGAGAACAAAAAGGGTGCGAGATGCTAACGTAAAAGTCATACAAACCAGCGAACAGAAATGCACGAGATGCTAACATAAGAGCCAAACAAGCCAGAGAACAGATAGTGTGCGAGATGCTAACGTAACAGTCAAACAAATCAGAGAACAAATAGTGCGCGTGATAGTAACGCAACCGTCACACAAACCAGAGAACAAATAGTGCACGAGATACTAACGTAACAGTCAAGCAACCCAGGGAACAAATAGTGTATGAAATTCTAACGTAACAGTCAAACAAACAAGGGAGCAAATAGTGCGCGAGATACACACATAACAGTCACTTAAACCAGAGAACAAATAGTTTCTTGCGACACCAACGTAACAGTCGATTCTTAGCGACACTAGAAAACAATTGTAGTGCGAAATCCTTACGTACGTAGGAATCAAACAAAAAGGGAAAAAAATAACGCGTGATGAATACTGGGGGAGTAGCCACTGATGAAAGAAATTACTGTGGATTGGAAACAACGAGGTTGAATAATTTTAGTTATATTTTCAATATAAACCGTTCGACACGTACCTCGCGGTAAATGTTTTATTATTTGAAATTTTAGGGATATTAAAGAAATGGTAGCACGCACAACATTAACAAAATACCCAATGTTCTTCCAAATGTCTTCAAGAATGGTTTTCTTTTCAACCTATGTTTGAAATTTTTCCTTTTAGATGCCGTAACGATTTCAGGTTTGCAAAAGCTCAGGGAAGATGGAAAAAAAATCTTCCAGTGATGAGTTAACTTGCCGTTGTACAGTTGAAGGAAAACTTGATTTACATCTGCGGTAAATGAAAATATTTCATATCCTTGGTGTTGATGAACAAAAACGCTCTCTAATTTGTTATTAAGTAATCCTCAATTAATGTCTGGTTCATTATTTTTACCGTTATCGTTATTACAACTTTTTTTTTTTGAACTCTAGGAAAAAAGTATTCTCACCAGAAGTAAAAAATCCTACCCAGCCCCCCTCCCCCGTGTGATTTTGAATACTGATTGTGAGGCACGCGGAGGATTCGAATTGAATTGCAAATATAATTGTGTTCATTAAGTATTCATTTTACTTGTGTGAGATCTTTTCACGTGGAGGTCAGAACTATGCTTTTCTACCTGGTTTGTAACCTTAAATTGTCTCTTTTGATCGGAAAACTCTTCGTATTGCATGTCCCAGACAGTTGGAACATCCGACGGTAGAAGTCAAAACATTTGGTGTCGATTCTCGACAACGGTCCTTGCACGCAGGTTGTAACAAGATATAACAAGTCAACAGATTCAAACCATGGGTAGACAGAAGTTCAGTCTTTTTTTTAACTCATGTAGGGGATTTAGCTTCTTTCTTCTGCTCTTCATTATAATTTACTTACAATATTGTGTGTTTTGAGAGCGTCGGGCTCTTCTCCTCATCCATTACAAACAATACCGAACTAGCGACACTCAGAACTGACTTCAAAGCTTTTATAGTTGAATTACTTATGCGTGTCATCTTAATCCTGGGAGAATACATTTTTAGAATAACGTATAAAACTATTGCTAAAAGGTTATTTGAGAAGACATCGGAAATCCATTGATATCAGTAAACAACTGGATGGAGACCAAAACGAACAAACATAATCATATGGTAATCGAGCTTTTTCCAGTGCTGCACCGAGCCTTCCAGCAATTGTTAGGAAAGCATCAACTCTACCTACGTTTAAATCGCTTTTGAAAGTTATATGTATAAATCGATTCATTTCAACCAGTTTACCAGCGATTTATTTTGTATTTTATCAATTGTAATTAGGTATTCCCAGGAAGCGCGAGAGAGGCGCATTTTGATTTTAACAGATATCGTTATTTGATTCGACAGGAATTTTTTTCCTTTTTTCTATTATATCTTGAAATTTTAAGTTTGTGAACGCATCGCGACATGTGAAAAAATGTTTCCTAAGAACGGTATAAGTTATTACTTATTAAGAAAAGGAGATAGTATTTCTGGGGGAGTGCATCTGAATATTTTTGAGTTTAGTGATCGTTACAAAAATTACGGGGTAAAAATAGTATCGCACCAATAACTCCTCTATTTATATCTTACACAAAATTCCCAGTACTGTGGGTACCTTAATAC